ATGGGGATTTGTTCACCTTAAGGCAAGTTCTAAAGGATGAGGTGAAGGGGATCAAAGACCACATTTACACTCTCGATCTGTGCTGGTACCTTTATTTTTTTTGTGAGAGTAGGGAAATGGATATAAAAGGGCTAAGTGAGTAATATCTTAGGACATTTTCAGATGAAGAGCATTGTTAGTTTAGAAGGATTTTTTCCCCAGATCTTTTGGATGGAAACAACCAGTTATAAATATTGTTCATTAGGACCTCAAACAGTGTTACTGCTTAGCTTCCAATGCAAACAGGACCATTTTATAGAAACTTTTATCTACATACATTTAAAAAGCCTATGTCTAAATAAGTTATCAGCTCACATTTTTTTTTAAACCAATCTACCTTCTTCCTGTGATGGTGTGGCTAATGAATAATGATGCCAGCTTTCTTTATTTACTTTGTTGGCATATTTGCAAGGGTGAATTTAACATTTTGATTTTCAACAATTTCAGTTGACTGGAGTCCTAGAGCACCAAACCCAAAGGACATTGGGCTCATGTTTTATTTCTTTTACCTTTGCTGCTTTCTGCTTTGCAAAGTATTGACTGAGTCAGGCCCCAAGGGAAGATGGGCTGATATTGGATCTATGATTCTCTTAAGTTCCAAACTTTAGATGGAATGGAATCATAGAAGCTGTTGACTAGGGAAGAATGAGCTTCTGCTAATTATAAACAAACAGTCAGCCCTGGAAATCATAATGAGGCTGAGAGGAGGTGTGGGTGTGTGTGTGTGCATGCATGCGTGGGTGCATGTGTGACTAAATATATATAGCACCCATTGACTGTTCTTTAAAACACAAGGAGAATCTTTGTCTCTTAATCTGAACTTTCATCCTCCCTCTAGTGTTGAATTCTGTGCTCATTTTTGCATTACTTGTTGCACTTATAAATTTTAACATTATTTGAGTAAGAGCGCCTTGGAAGTGAGAGTAATTATTTCCCCCAGCTTAATGATAAAAATTTGCTAAGAAGATGCTGGGAGATGGCAATAGAAAAGGCACGTGTGAGAAAATGACTAATGCTCAAAAGGAAAGAGAAGGACAATACAGTGAGAAATACACCCTCCAAGAGGACTGACCACTTTAACTGGTCATTACATTATTTTCTTGGGTGAGAAACATATTCTGGAAATCAGCTTAATTGTAAGAGTTGTTCCAGAGTGATGGAATCCAACCTTGTGGACCCTTATCAAGCTATGATAACTAGATCACTTATTCTTCCCTTTAAGCAAATACTAACATTGGATGGATGGGTTGTTGTGCTAATGACCTTCATGGTATTATATAACCACTTACTGATTCTTCATTATTTATGGTTATGATTCTGTGTGATCCCTCTCCTGGGGGTAGGGACGGCCTGTGCAGGCCAGCGGTTCCCATGGGAAGAGAGACGGCACAACTAGCATCCACTGCCTGGTTTGCTTTGGGATTCTGTGATGACCCTTAATTTTTCTAGTTTACATTTATTTCGAATGTCTATAATTTTTTTTCCTTCCATCTTAAGTTATGAAATGTTTAGATTTTCAGGGGGTCTCAGACTTGGGAGCTGGGTAGCTTTGAGTTGTTAAAATCTTGTGTTACTGCATGTGGTCACAGTGTACTGCTTGTCTGATCTCTTCTTTTTGTCATTTATGAGGTTTTCTTTATGACCTAATACCTGACACTGTTTATAAATGTTTCTTTAAAAAGAATATTTGTATCTGCTTCTGGGACTGATTCCACAGACATTAAACTTTTATCACTGGAACCTTCTGCGCTACTCAGAGAGTGTTGCTTCTCTGATCCTGGCCTGTCTTACCTTTCCACATTCTACCTTTTCATATCACACTGGGAGTAGGGAAATGAGGGGAAGAGGGGTGGGGGCAGCGTAGCCATGTCGGGTAGTCTGAGGGCCAAACATTATAGGAAGAGCCCTACGCATGCATGGACTGTTGCTGGTTAGGCCATCCTTCAGCATGAATTCAAACACAATTTTAAAAAGTTGTTGCCATAATGGAATTGGCTCTTTGAGGACAGCTTTCCCCATTTTTCTTTTGGTCAGTCATAATTATTTAAATTCTTTAGCTTAGAAAAAGGAGGTCATTTTAGAGGAGTTTAGTCTGTGATAAAGGAGAAAGCAAAGCTTGTTGCTATATGAGTTCATCTCTGGGGAATGGGCAGGACGGGTTCAGCATGACACTTTATGAATGAGGGCATGTTGGAAATTAATTGGTTGATTTCTTTCTGCGTCCTTCCTCTTTTCTCTGTGTCATTACCCTATTTTATGGAATACGGAGTTACTCTTGCGTTCCACTGAGTCTGACTGTTGCACAGTGGTGAAGAGTTCAGGCTCTGGGACCAGTTTGCCTGGGTTTGAATCCTGTCTCCACTGCTTATTGGCTCTAAGACTCTGGGCAAGTCACTGATTCTGTGTCTTGGTTTTTTCATCTGTCAAGTTGGAAATAGTAGCTGCTATATAGGATTGTTGTTGGGACTAAATAAAATGTAATATATGTGAAGAGCTTAGAGTAGTACGCAGTACAAGTACACAGCAGTGCTTAATAAATGTAAGCTAGTATCATTATTCCACTGGGCAGGTGGATAGCCTGTTTCACATTTGTCTGTGACATTATGTCAGTTTGGATAAATAAAGAATAAATTTAAACTAATATATTTTTAAAAAAGGACTAAATGTTAGCTGTCTGAATTTTTAAAAAATAGCCAAATGTGAATCTCTTGAGTATTACTGCAGTGACCACAAAGATTAATCATTGTTGTCACTACTTCAATGATGGTTTGCTTTTTGGAGGAAAAGCTGTCATTTATAGATGCTTTTATAATTCATATGTGCTGAATTCAGGAGTTCTCCATGTACATGGTCTGGTTTTTAAGTTTTATTGAAATTATTGTATCAAAAATAGGATTAATTAAAATTTGTCCTGAAGACTTAATATGCCTTTTCTTGTTTCTCTGTGCAGCAGCAAAATTCCCATTCAACTTTGAGGTATGGGATCTGATTTAGAACTTAGAAGACTATAGTAATTAACCGTGATGGTCCCTTACACATAGTGAGCCCTTGGTTAAGGATACATAGTCATCTTGATAAGCAGCCTTGTTGAGTGTTTGAATTTGTTTATATATTTATTTAAACAACTGAAACAGATAGCAATTAAAGAAAAGGCTTGGTCTGTCTAGATTTAGTTCTTATAAAGCTAGGTGTTTTGAAAGTGATTAGGTCTAGGGGCATAGAATAAGACATATTTCATGGCTTGACTCAAATCTGAAATTCTTGGGGACTGTAAGATATATTAGGGCCTTTGGGGATTTATGGGAGTGGTGGTGGGAGGGGACACTCACTGGATGAGAATAATTTCTGAAGTTACAAATTGTTTTTTGCTGAGTAGCAGTGGTGCTACAGACCTTCAGAAATATCCACTGCTTCTTGTTCCCTTATTGCTGGTGGAGAATCCTGTACTTTCAGATGTCCTGTGCATATCCTATAGCCGATGTCAGTAAGCACTGTTTTGGGGGAATTATCCATGAGGTCCTGGGTCCTTGTGTTGGCACTTGGGTTGTGGGATGTGAGGAGAGGAAGGGGGTTGTGGAGAGGAGTCATGTGGATTCTGTGGATAGGAATCTAGCCCTCACTCCTCTCTTCTGGGGTTGCTGGAGGCTGTAAGATGGGTACTATTAGCCATGCACTTACCTCCAGGGAGCAGGTGGCCCACACTGTGAGGCTACTGTGAAGCATTTACTGGGAGGCTGGCAACTGCAGATTGTTGCAAGTGCCTGGCCAAACATTGTTAAAGTCCTTATTAGTACAGAAGGAATGTGGGAGTGTGGTTAGAGACCAGGTACTGTGCCCAACTTCTCAACTCTTTCAATAGGGGACCTCCATGATTGTCTCTAATTTTCTTTTTGAGAAATGGAGAATAATAATCTGAGGCTACCTGCTTATCTTGAAGAGTGTTCTGAGGATGAACGAGTTAATCGTCTCATCGTGGAGAAAGCGGAAGTTCTCTTGTCATAATTGCATTGCCTTTCCAGGGAAGCTTCAGTTTGGTGGAATAAAGTAGTGGAAAGAAGGAGTGGAATGAGCCATCTGCAGCTTAGTTGGTGTCTTTCAAGTCCAACTCAGGGTCAGATTTCCAGTCTAGTGGAGGAATTTTTTTTTTAACCTAAAATTTTTACATATTTTTTAGAAACCAAACCAAACCAAATGTCTGACCTGCTGTTTGTAGGAAAAGAACAGATGTTTATTCTGAGAACATATTAACAAAAATGTTAGTGGTTTTCTCCCACCGTAAGGGAAGAAGATGGGTTAAAAGAGAGAGCAGAGATTTAAGTAGTTTGCTCTTACTGCCCCATTCCTGACGTGCCCTTTTTGAGAGACTTGGTATTGCTTCATTTTATTGATTTTTCAAGTTTCTTTGAGAAAGAAACTTCATGACATCAAGCCAAAACAAAAGAAAAAATACAAACACACACACACACACACGCACACACACACACACCCCAGTTGCTTTAAATACCAAGGATGTCAGCATGAAATTAAAATGAATCAACTGACATTTCTGCTTTGAAATTTTTTAGTAAAATTAATTTAAACCAACAGTGAAAACTTCTGTCTCTACCTTATAATGGAAAGTTTGACCTTTTTCAGTGTTTTTGGCTTAAGGGTGTTGACATTGGGGTGTTTTTGGTTAAAATTTGCTTCAACTCTCTAATGGCTCGCGGGATCTTGGTCAATCTTTGGTGGCGAAATAGCAAATACTGTCAATTGTGTTGGTACCATGTAGTTTCCAAAGACAAGGTCTCTGAAGCAGTGGGTGTGGTATCCCCTCCTGCCCATGTGTAACTGTTAAAAAGAACACTGTTGTCATGTGAATTCTTATTTTTTTGAGCTTGCTTTTGAAGTAACTTTCACAGAGAATTCCTGTTACCTAGAAATTGATGACAGACTTACACCATTTCCTTTTTTTTTCTTAGACGTTCCATCCTCAGAGCAGCCTGAACTGTTCCTAAAGAAACTTCAGCAGTGCTGTGTCATTTTTGACTTCATGGACACGCTATCTGATCTTAAAATGAAAGAATACAAGCGCTCCACTCTTAATGAACTGGTGGACTACATTACAATAAGCAGAGGCTGTTTGACAGAGCAGACTTACCCCGAAGTAGTTAGAATGGTGAGTTTCTTTTTTTCGCCGCGGACACTTTTAAGCACCTTCCCTAGGGACTCACAGGTGTACTGATTGCAGAGTCAGGTCACTGGAGGTCACCTCCACCAATGAGAGCCAACCTTCTGAGAGCTAAGCAGAAGTAGTCGGCACAATACTAGAATTTGAAGAGCATGCTTTCATGAGAATGAAATCCAGAACTTTTCACCAACAACAGTATTGGAGGAATCAATGACTTCAAAATATGAAGCCGAGATTGCCAGGGTGTTACTGGATTTCTGGCACTGGAAAAAGAAAAGACATAGGAGACTCAACAAAAGTTTTAGATTGGTGTTTGAAAAATATGCAAGCCTGTTGGATGTCTTGATTTTTTTCTTTTCCTCTATTCGTTGTGGTATATTAGAAATGGCTTAAGCTTAATATTAATTTCGATTTGTAGAATCTAGAGAAAGCCTCTCTTGGCTTGATAAACTAATCATCCACGTTATAAACTTAAAATTGGGAGTGATGTCTTTCATTATTTTTGAATAGCGTCTTGTACTTTGTGTGGTCGTTAAGAGTTATGAGGAAAAACATTATTAATATAATACAAGTAATTATGTTCTTATTGTATCAATAATTATATTAGCTTTTCAAAAGCTGAGCCAAATATGGTTTTCTGTTAGGTTTCTGTGGGAAGGTTGCCTTCCTTGGCATCCTAGAAGATCTTGGGTCTAGGGGCCCTTGCTATTTGGAGGAGATGGGGCTGGCCTACTAACTTGTGAAATCATGCTGCAGAGATCCAAGGGGGTCATTGCGTCATTGCAAAGCCCACTGGCCCACTCTCTGTGTACTGATGAATATCTCCCTAGCTTTTCTGTTTAACTTTTGTCACTTGCATTCTACATGTACAGAAAAGAGACATCTGTGTTGGAGAAGAGATGGTTAAAAATGAATAGTTCAGATTTGGGAAGGGACCTGAATTATCACAACTTGAGAAACTATGACAGATAGATGGTCATTTCAAAACAACATCTAGTATATTTCTCAGCCCCATGTTGGACTGTATATTGCATTTGTTAATTTATAGGAATATAAAACAGTGTTTTGTAGGGTTAATTGTTAACACTGTGGCTCGTGAGCAGTGGTTCTCAACCAGGGGCGATTTTCCCTCCTAGGGCAGCATGGCACTGTCTGGAGACAGTTTGGTCGTCAGAACCAGGGGTGGGAGGGGGGCGCTACCAGCATCTAGTGGGTGGAGGCCAGGAATGCTGCTAAACATCGTGGAGGTACAAGGCAGCTCTACAACAAAGAATTAGTCTGGCCCAAATGTCAATAATGCCACTGTTGAGAACCCCTGCTCTAGAGTTTGCATGCTCTCTGAACCTCTTACCCTGATACTTAGGATCTTCTCTAGTCCACCTGCCTTCTGCAGAGCATGGTCCTTTGGTTTTAACCTCCTCGTGTCCCAGCCAACAAAGATATCCACCATTGATCACTTTCTTTTGTGTCTTTCCATGGATAGTCCATGAATATTGAAGCATATATAAGCATATATGTATAAATAATGTTTTTTGTAAACACACGAAGAGTAGCACATTGTACACCCTCTCTGTCCCTTGCTTTTTTCACTTAGCAATATATCATATACATCAGTACTTGTAAAGCTGTCTCATTCATTTTTATAGCTGCATTTCACTGTGTGGATGTACCATAATTTATTTAACCCCAGGACCCTGTGAATATCCTCGTATGTACATCAGTTTGCCCTTGTGTGAGAGCACCTGTATATTTGTGGATCTGTTTCATAATAGCCTGTCTTTTTCTCTGTTTCTGGACCTTCATGTACTCCCTCCCCTCCTGCCTCTAATTCTGATTCTCCCCTTCGTTTCAAGATCTGGCTTAAAATGCTACCACTGTTTCCTGAAAAGCCCAGAGTTTTCTTCTTCTTTCAGTTCCTCTACTTCTTGGCAACCCACCCTTTTGGAATTTGTTCCTTTGCTGCTGTTTAATCCTTTCACATGTTTATCTGATTTTTTCCCCGTCTAGACTATAAGTACTCCTAAGCAGGAACTGTGGCATACACATCTCTGTGGCCTCTCTAATGCCTCCCTAACCCAGGCCTACCTGGAGATTGTTGAATGAGTGAATTCCCTCTTAAAATGTGGGCATTTCAGGCTCTCTGTGATGAAGATACTGGATGTCATTGGATTATATCCAGTTTTTAAACCCAGTATTTGGCATAATCCAAAAATTTGTTCATTCCTGTGAACCAAACTAGGTCCTAAAGCAGCTTTAGATTCTCAAAGGAGACCATTTTCTCTTCTCTCTGAACACCTCCCCCCATGGCCCTCTACCCACACCAGGAAAAAAAAAAAAAACGACTCCTACGATGTGTGTGTGAATGCGTGTTTTAAAATGTACTGCCTCCTTTAGGAGGTGTTGAATCTGTAGCATGCAGATTCTAGGGCATTAGAAAATCGACATTCTAGATGATAGTTTAGGGTTCTCAGAGGTGTAATTTATTTTTCGTATCTTCTGAATTGTGAAATTGCTAACTGCTAATTTTGCATGGTTCTTAGGCATTATGGCATTTACAGAGAAGGAAGTAGTTGGTAGAGTAGAAAGAGAAAGGGCTTTGGAACCACACAAAGCTGGGTTCAGATGCCAGCTCTGGCCACACTTACTTGCTCCATCACCTTGGACAGAACCCTCCATCTTTGGGAGTCTCAGTTTTTGTGAGATGCTAAGAGGTATGTAGGATTGGGGAAAGGGTGGCCGCAGTCCCTCCTACCCTGCTCTGTCAGTAGTCCACCTGAGGAAAATTGTTGTGCTTTGTCCATCAAGGTTCTCACCACCTCGAATACACATACAATCTCGTAAACAGGGATTAACCCCTCTATAAGGGAGATTGGAACCAAGTACCCCCTTGCCCACTACTCCCTTCTGTTTTGCCATCTGTGAGCCCCCTTTATATAGAAATCCTACTGCTCGCTTTCCTCATCTGTATTGTACCTTCCTTTGGGTATTTTATGAGGATTGGCGGTGGTGTATGTAGAACTCTTAGAATAGTCCCTAACGTATGGCAAGCATTTCATCATTATCATCATTTTTATTATATCAATATTATTATTATATTTTAATGATTTTGTTTTTAGATACTTGACTTTATAATCATTGGGGGAGGAAACTAGTGTTCCTGTTTGTGGACTTAAAATGCCCTGTCAGCTAAATGTGTTATGTCCCATTGCATCAGTGGTCCTCAGATTTTGTCATTCCAATACTGCCTGTTGAATAGTCCCTATCCTCGCCTATTCTTCTTTCTTATTACTGTAAAATGAAACTACTTCACTAGGATTAGTGAGGGAAATGGTAGTACTTTTAATGAAATGTCAGTAAAGTGATAGCCAGGTTTTACAAACCAGGATGAGTGATGTCTCAAGCTGGCACATTCGGATGTCAGCATTATTACCAAAAGCCTTCGATGCAACCTGGTGGACCTAGGCTTTGAGAGTTGCTGCTTTTGTTAGGGTAAGAAAAGACTGACAGATGAAAGTAATCTATGAATTGTGGAAACCATTTTTAGCATTTAAATGAAATCTGGATAACCACCTACAGAGTGCTAGAATTAAGAAAGAAAAATAACTCTTTCTGTGTGAACAAAATAAAACAATATAGCACCCAGCTCACCTGCAGAAGGGTAGTGGGGTAGTGGAAAGAGCCCCAGATAGAGAAAGCAGAAGCCACTGTCCTCACTTCTCATCTGCCACTTAACTAGTGGTGAAATCTGGGGTAAGTCAGTTCCTCTCTAAGCCCCAGTTTCTCCTCTTGTAAATGGAAGGAGTTGGTGGTGATCTCTCACGTCCTTCCAGCTCTGAAAACTACCAACTCTTTTGATCAACACAGTCTTAAGAGATTTAGAAGGATTCTGTTCCTCTTAAGTTTCCAAAACATTGTCCAAAGTAGTTGCTTCTACTTTGTGAGTGGTGTCTTCAAGTGTGTTTCTTTCTCATGGAGTCATATCTGATGGAGAAACAAGACCCAGGACTGTGAGTTCCTTAGGGTTTGGCACATTTTGCCTTGTATCATCTTGAGTGTTAGGCTTCTGTCCTTGAGGCAGTATTTTTACCACATTATGCTCATGTTTTCTTTCTGTTTCTGCTGCCATGCATCCATTTGAAAGATTTCTTAGAGTTTCTGGCTCCCCTAGGAGTCTTGGGTTAATTTTTTTTCTTTTAACCTGAACGCAGACTCTGTATTTTATACTCTTTATGTTGACACATTTTCCTTTTCAAAAACATCTCTTTTGGGGATAGTTCAAATGTGAGATGAAATCTTGTGGGTGAAGACATTATTTTCACTAATTTCAGGTAATGTGTGGAGTGGTTTAGAGCCACACTTTTATATTTTGATGATTAAAAAAAGACAGAGTGCTGCTCTGTCAACAAACTCACATTCAGGTAGAGAGGATACTCATGTGAACAAATAATAAAATAATGTCATCTGTGCATTAATAGAAGCAGGCAGAAGGCAAGGAAGGGGTAGAGAGAAAGGGTGATTAATCCGAGGATGGTAGGGGTGGTCAAGGAAGGCTTTACAAAGTGAGGATATTCAAAGGTGAATACATGTTTTCCAGTGGCTGAAATAGTGTTGAAATGAAAGAGAAATACACGATGCAAAGGAATTCCCAGACCACATAGTATATTCAGAGGAACACAAGCAGTGCTGTGTTCTTACAGCATTAAGTGTGTGTATGTGTGTTGGGGTGTGAGAGGAGGTGAGTGATGGCAGTTGAAGATGTAGCTATGGACCAGAAGATCCTAAAAGAACCTTACAGACAGTGGATAACCATTGAAAAGTTCTAAGCAGGGGAGTGGCATGGTCATATTTGTATTGTAATGGCAGTGGGCCAGATAGATGGGAGGGGTCTGAAATTGAAGGCAGAGAGGAATTGATGAGGTTCTGTTGTATTAGAGAAGTTGTAGAGGGCCTCAGCCAAGCACGGGGTGGAAGTAGAGAAAGTGAGGCGA